CCCACTGGAGAAATAGCACCACAGATTCTACCTGCTGAAGTACGCGCCGCATTACAGACTATGAAGACAGCCACGGCTCCAGGACCGGACCAGGACTGTTTCGGCCGACTTCTTATGAGCTGGAGGATATCTCCTACATGTAATACTTGCGGCACACCTAACATTACCTTCAAAAGGAAAGGATCCTCCACCAGTGAAGAACCTCCCGCACAATCCTTCTTCATAAGAAGGGTGATGGGGAGGATTTTCGGAACTACCGTCCAAGTGCCTGCTGAGCGTGCTTTACAAGCTCTTTACGAAGATTATTCTCGCTCGTATATCAAGGACACTGGATGAAGCCCAACCTTTAGAACAAGCTGGATTTCGTCAGGGATTCAGCTGCGTGGACCCATCCAAACAGTTTCGAGGACGATCGAGGTTTGCCGAGAGTACCGCCTACCTCTCGTCTTAACCTTCGTTGACTGTGAGAAAGCGTTTGACAGCATCGATGATGCCATACTGTCAGCGCTCGTCGACCACGAGGTAGAACCATCTTACGTGAAGACATTGGCCGAGTGCTACAAGAACTGCTCTACAACGATACAGGTTTTCTATCGTCCCTACCAATCTCGAAGGAAGTTTAACAAGGCGACACCGTGTCGCTAAAGCTGTTCACCACCGCCTTGCAGTGGGTGATGAAATCACTGGTTTGGAACGAGAGAGGTATACAAGTTGATGGAAGATTCCTCTCGAACCTTCGTTTTGCGGACGACATTGTACTCTTCTCGAAAAATCTTACTGAAGCGGAGAGGCTGTGGAAGGAACTAAACGAAGTAGGGAAGCGGATAGGACCGTGAATTAACCGGAATAAGACTTTATTCATAAATGTACTTTTTGCGAGGATCAAAAAATGGAATTAGAAAGCTCTCCAATCGCGAAAACGTCTTCTTATGTATATCTCGGGCGTTCGGTGAACATGGAGAACGATCTGAAAGAAGAACTAAACAGGAGGCAAAGAGCAGGTTGGGTCGCCTTCGCGCCCCAAAAGAAGCTACAGACCAGCTGACGGACCCAGAGCT